TGCAGACCCCTCTGCGTCCCTGCTGGGACAGCTCTGCACGCCCCCCCCATCCCCAAACGCTGCCCAGGTGTCAGCCCGAGCTGTGCTGCTTGCTGTAGGTCTACGAGGATTACGACTGCACCCTGAACCAGACCAACATCAGCGCCAACAACAACAAGTTCTATATCATCCAGCTCCTTGAGCATGATGGTGCCTACAGTGTCTGGAGCCGCTGGGGTCGTGTGGTAAGTCCACCCTGGCACCACTTGTGTCGCCCTCCACGGCTGTCCCCACCCTGCCTTGGGACCTCCAAGGGTCAGGGATGAACCTGGTGGTCCCCATCCCTTGTTCCCGGTCCCAAAGTGAGTAACAAAGTGGCCCTGCTATAGCCCCTTGTTGGGGGGTCTTCAAGGACTTGCCCGCACACAATGGGGTCAGCCTGGCCAGGGGACATGGCACCTGTCACTGCAGTGACAGTAAACATGACAAGCCAGGAGTCCTGGGGTGCCTCCCTGAGCTGGAAGGACCCCCAGACCTGGTGCTAGTGGCTTGGCACTTTCCTGCTCGCTGCCCTGCAGCCCTGCCAGCCATTGCAGCCCCCTGCTCCCAGGTTGCTCCCCCCAGCATGGGGCTGGTGGAGCAGGGATGCAGCGGGGGTCCTGACCACTGCTGTCCACTGCCAGGGGGAGGTGGGTCAGTCCAAGCTCATGCCTTCCGCCTCCCTGGAGGCTGCCAAGAAGGACTTTGAGAAGAAGTTTCGGGAGAAGACCAAGAACAGCTGGGCGGCGAGGGAGAACTTTGTTGCCCAGCCGGGGAAGTACACACTCATCGAGGTGCAGCCAGGGGCCGGGCAGGAGACGGAGGTTGCCCTCAGGGTGAGTGTGCCGGGCAGCCAGGGTGTCACTGCGGTGGGGTGGTCCTCACATCCCATCCCTGGCCCACTGGGCACCAGGACATCCAAGCGGGTCAGCAGGATGGGGTGGGTTTTGGGCAGGGTCTGGGTGAGAGCCGAAATAGCCCACGGGCAGAGATTTGGGGCTAATTGGTTGAGATGGAGTGGGAGGACATCCCAAGCGAGAACCATGGGCATCCGGGTGGCATCGGTTGTGGAAAGCAGAGGCAGCACCTGCCTGTTGCTCTGCTGCCCGTGGTCCAGGCTCTCCCCACCGAGACGGGCAGCCCCGGGGCCATGCCCCCACAGCCTCCTGCGGGCTCGCAGGTGATGTGGTGACGTTGGGGGCCTGCAGGTGGATGGCGTGGATGGGGACAAGGTCTGCAAGCAGCGGGTGCTGCCCTGCACCTTGGACAAAGCAACACAGGACCTGGTGTCCCTCATCTTCAGCAGTGACATGTTCCGGGATGCCATGCAAACCATGAATATCGGTAGGAGGTGATGGGTGGCATGGGGTGGGTCTGGGGTCTGCGGCTGGGGGGTGCAGGTAGGGAGGTGAACAGGGCAGATGTCCCAGTGGATTTTAGAGCATCCCCACTGAACAGCCCAGCACCTGGTGGGACTGTGGACCCCCCCCATGACAGGTAACTGTGTGTCCCTCTGGTGATGCTGGAGGTTCTTGGAAGTAGCTGTGGGGCAAGTGGGGTGGATGGGTTCACCCGTGCCTTCCCCTGTCCCCCGGGCCAGATGTGAAGAAGATGCCACTGGGGAAGCTGAGCAAGCAGCAGATCGCAAGGGGCTTTGAGGCACTGGAGGAGCTGGAGGCAGCGCTGCAGGAGCAGCCCCCCAAGGCTGCCCGCCTGGAGGACCTCTCCTCCCGCTTCTACACCATTGTCCCCCATAACTTTGGGCGGGCACGGCCACCCCCCATCAACTCCCCCGACCTGCTGCGTGCCAAGAAGGACATGCTGTTGGTGAGATGCCAGGGCACTCAGCGGATGGCATCCCTCCCCAAGTAGGGCTTCTGCCTGTGGGGCAGGGAGATGCTGGCAGGAGGCTGGGCTTGCCCTGGTTTCCCCGGCATAGTGCCCAGCACCAGTGGTGAGGATGTCCCCGGTCTGTGCCTGCCAGGTGCTGGCTGACATCGAGGTGGCACAGAGCCTGCAGGCGCAGAAGGTGAAGGAGGAGGAGGAGGAGGAGAAGGAAGTTGCCCATCCGCTGGATCAGGATTACGCCCTGCTCTGCTGCCAGCTCTCCCTGCTGGACCCAGCTTCCCAGGAGTACCAGGTGCCGCTTGTGCCACGGTGCCCCATGATGGGGAGCAACCGTGCCAGGCCTGCGGGCATGCCAAAGGTGCCCACTGTCCCAGGGGGACCATGGGCATTGGTGGGATGGCTGCCTGCGGTGACACCACTTTCCTGCCTCCCTCCCTGGCAGCTGATCCAAAACTATGTGACACAGACCGGACACGAACTCCGCATCCTCAACATCTGGCAGGTGGCCCGAGATGGCGAGGTGAGAAGGAGGAGATGATTATCCCCATCCTGCAGTGGGGAAGCCCTGGTTGCATCCCAGGACTGCATTAGGGCTCTGGGCTTCTCCATCCAGGGCGGGGGTTCAGCCCATCTGGCCAGGGGCAAACAGGGACCTGCTCCCCTGCCCCTCCAGCCTGGCACTGGGGTTAGGCTGGGGGGGTTGGGTGGCAGGCACCCACATCTTCCTCCATGGACAGCCCTTAGCTCTGCATCTCTCCAGGATGAGCGCTTCAAAGCCCATGACCTCCTGGAGCACCGGCGCCTGCTTTGGCACGGCACCAATGTGGCGGTGATCGTGGCCATCCTGAAGAGCGGGCTGCGCATCATGCCCCACTCAGGCGGGCGCGTGGGCAAGGGCATCTACTTTGCCTCCGAGAACAGCAAGTCAGCCTGCTACGGTGAGGGTCCTGGGACGGGCAGGGCTGCTCGGGATACCCGCAGGATCTGTGCGAGACTAGCTGCCTTTGCATACCCACTGCCAGGCAGCTGTGGGCATGCCAAGCCCCTTCCCTGCCATGGCAGCCGGTCCCTGTGTGCCAGGGTGGCTTGGGGACAACCAGGTGGGAATGACAGGGCTGGTGTCATGATCCCCATTGCCTTCACCCATGGCAGTGGGCTGCACATCCAAGAAGGTTGGCATCATGTTCCTGACGGAGGTGGCCCTAGGCAAGCCCTACTGTATCACCTGTGACGACCCCACGCTGTGTCAGCCACCCGCCGGCTACGACAGCGTCCTGGCCTGTGGCCAGACGGAGCCAGGTGAGCCTGGGGCAGGAGGTGGCGTGGGGTCTGCGGGGCTTGGGTGGGCACGGGGCGGGCTGGGGAGAGAGGCCACATCTTGGGCTTGACGTGGTGGTGGTAGGCGTCTTCTCACCCAGATCCTGCACAGGATGAGGAGGTGCTGCTGGATGGCAAGAAGGTGCTGGTGTGCCAAGGCAAGCCCATCCCCATGCCCGCCTACAAGGACTCCTCCTTCAGCCAGAGCGAGTACCTCATCTACCAGGAAAGCCAGTGTCGGATCCGCTACCTTGTCCAGCTCCAGTTCTGAGGGTGTCCGGGCACCCCATGGTCCCGTCCCAGCACCAGGTGGTGATGCCCACCAGCCTGGAGCACAGTTGTCTGGACTCTCTGGCCACACCACCTGGGGCTTGGCAAGGGACAGGCTGGCATTGGGACAGAGCTTGCTTTGACCATGAATAAAAGCCCTGTGCCTTGTACCGACCGGTGCCAGCACTTTCCTCCCTGGTGAGGCTGGTGTGGAGTAGGGAAGGGTGGTGGTGGGTCCCTGCAGGGATAGCAGCAGGTGGCTCTGGAGGGGCCGCAGCCTGTTGTGGCGGTCCGGTGCCGGCAGCCTTCAGGTGAAAGCTGGTGGCTTTGTGAGCCAGGTGCCCTCGTCACCTTAGCAAGGCACGTGGCTCGTGCCTACCACTGTGGCATCAGAGCTACAGAGTATGAGCAACACGTGCTGCCCTGCCGGGGCATGGAGGAGCTCATCCATCTGTCCTGAGGGCGAGCGCCTGCCCTCCCTCTGGTGCCATGCTTGGTGCCATGCCTGCTGCCCTGCCCCAGCCTGGCCCCCGTGCCAAGCCTCTCTCTGTGCTCACGTGTGCCCCCCAAGCACACGTCCCGGTCCCCGGGGTGCCGGGGAAGGGCAACTCCTGGCTGCTTTACCCCGACGCCCCACGGATGCTCCAGAGCATCTTACTCCAGCGGGGAGGGGACGACTCAGACCTGCCTGTAGGTCTGTCCCCCGAGCCCCGGGGACCTCTGGGCTGAGCTGTCCTTGTAGAAGGACCAGGCCTGGTGCAGCGGGTGTCCATGCTTGGGGGGGGGCACAGGGCTCGGGGACCGTGTCCCCCCTTCCCGAGCCCCCGCCGGCTGCTAGGACCCAGCAGCTGTCCCCGTGGGACCGCCACGAGTGCAGGCAGTGCAGGCAGCGCCCGGGAGTGACAGCTGGTGCCATCCGCAGCTGGCAGGCTGCAGGCAAACAGGATGACGAGTGGGTGACGGGGCGCGGGGAAGGGGGAGCGTGGCCTTGCACACCGGCCGGCTGCCCCCGTTCTGCTGCGGGAGTGACGCCGGTGAGAAGGACCCCCGGCGAGGAGGGGAGCATCACCCACCTCCCCAGGAGCAAAGGTGCGCTGCGTCCCCCCCACCCACCCCGGGGTCCCCCATGGACAGAGCAAGGAGCAGGGATGGAGCAGGCGGGTTCGTGCTGTCCTTTCTCAGGGCGTGCTGGTGCGGTTGGGGCAGGGGGACGGGGTGTCAGCCCGGCACGGGTCCCCACAGGTCCCGGCAGTGCCATCCTTGGCCAGGTTGGGGACAGCTCAGACGCCAGCTCTGTGGCAGGCAGGGTGCCGTGACCTCGCTGGGTACCTCTCCCTGCTCCAGCATCTTGGAGGGGTTCAGGTCATCTCTGGGTTTCTCTGTGGCTCTTCTTCATTTTGGTTCTTCTCCCTCACACCCTGCTCCCCTCTCCAACAGGCAAGGAGAAGACAGCAGCCATGGTTGTGGTGGGGTTTCCCTCTGAGGGATGCAGGAGAAGAGTCCTTGCTGCCCAAGCACTGGAGCTGCTGGCTTAGCCCTCAGGGGTGATGGCGAGCCGAACGGGGCTGAACACCACGGACAGCCTAGAGCTGCTCTCCGTCCCTGAACGGTCCATCGCCCAGGAGGTGGTGGGCCTCCTTTGCATGGTCCTGCTCACCCTCACCGCCCTGGTGGCCAACACTGTGGTGATGGTCGTCATTCTCAAAACCCCCCTTCTCAGGAAGTTCATCTTCGTCTGCCACCTCTGTGTGGTCGACCTCCTCTCTGCCATTTTCCTCATGCCCCTGGGGATCATCTCCAGCTCCTCCTGCTTCAACAGGGTGATCTACAGCATTGCCGAGTGCCAGGCCTTGATATTCCTGAATGTCTGCTTCATCAGTGCCTCCATCCTCACCATCTCCGTCATCAGCGTGGAGCGGTACTACTACATCGTCCACCCCATGAGGTATGAGGTCAAGATGACCATCAGGCTGGCAGTGGCCGGAGTGATCTTCATTTGGGTCAAGTCTGTTCTCATCACTGTCTTGGCACTGGTGGGCTGGCCTCAAGGCAACGGGGCCACCAGCGCCAGCCGCTGCACAGTCTACTGGAGCCCTGGGGCCCACAAGAAGGTTTTTGTGATCATCTTCAGCATCATCTGCTTTGTTCTACCCACCATCATCATCTTTGCTGTTTACTGCAGTGTCTACCGCGTGGCCCGGATGGCATCCCTGCAGCAGGTGCCCGTGCCGGCACAGGCAGTTGCACCGAGACACCGATCTGACTCCATCGCCAGTCAAGTGACCATCATCACCACCAGGAACCTGCCACTGCCCAGGCTGACACCAGAGCGCTTTTTGGGAAGCAACAAGGCCATCCTCACCTTGGTCCTCATTGTGGGACAGTTCTTGTGCTGCTGGCTGCCCTTCTTCGCTTTCCACTTGCACTCCTCTGTCACCGCTGGCACAGTGGGTGGTGGGCATGGGGAGATGGTGGTCACCTGGATTGCCTACTCCTCCTTCGCCATCAACCCCTTCTTCTATGGGCTGCTGAACCGCCAGATTCGGGAGGAGCTGGCCCGGCTCCGGCGCAGCTGTCTCAACCAGCCGCTGGGCCAGGAGCTCTGTCTTTCCGTCTCAGAGGCTTCTGTCCAGGAAAACTTCTTGCAGTTCCTCCAGAGAGCAACTTGCACGCTGGAGACCCACGCCAGCTGCATCAGCCCCAGCCCCCGGAACAGGCTGGACCAGACCAAGATGGGCTTCCCCATCCCAGGTCAGGTTCCTGAAGAAAGCAGCTGAGAAGCAGGAGGCCCTGTCCCACCATGCTGGGCAGGAGGGTGGGCAGGGGACCTTCCAGGGACCCATCAGACCTGCTTGGACACAGCCTCTTGCATTTGGAGGGGTCCTTGTCCAGGTTTTGCCTTTTCTCTAAGCTTATGGTGGAAGATGGTTTCTCTGCTCGGGAGAAGGCAGCAGATCTGGGGAAGCCTCATCTCCCTTCTGCAGGCTGGGATTGTCTCTGGCTCCACCAGCACAGCCCAGTTGCGTGGACGGGCTCTTCTCGGGACACAGGATGCCAAGGGGCTCCTATGCAGGGGCAGAGGAGGGGGCATCTCCATCTCCGTCACCCTGCTGGGACTACTCGTGGTCGTTGGGGAAGAGCAGATGTCCCTTGCATCCTACCTGGGAGCAATGGCCCAGCTAACACCACTAACATCAGTAACACCAGGGCCCCAGGCACCCTGCTCAGCCTGGACAGCTGACATGGAGCCCTCCACCCTTGGCCGTTTAACCCAAAACTAACATCTGGATGGAGGAGCTCCTGTTGCCTGTGGTACTTATCAGGGGAACGGCACCCCTGGGGCTGGCTCTGGCCGTGTCTGTGTTTTTCCTGCTGGCATGGTGGCATGCGATGCCCATGGCCATGCCTGGCCGTGCCCTCTGTCCCCCCCAGCTGGCAGGGGCTGCCCCTCCTGGGGGGGATGCTGGTCGGCCAGGGGTCCACGCTGGGCTGTTTATTGATACAGCTGCCCCGCTGAAGCCCAGCCAGTGGTGCCACATGCCAGCTGAACCGGGCTGCCGGCCAGGGGTGCGCTGGGGTGGACGCGGTGGCACAGGGTGGTGGGGGGTGGCTGTACGGGGTGCCCCTGGGCAGCGGCAGCTGGAGGCGACCGGGAGCTGCTGTCCCCCTTGGGTCTTGTTACTCCTGCAGGGCCTGGGGACCCTCCCATGAGTTCCCCAGTGCAAGAAAGGGGACTGGACCCTATTGGGGGATGCTGGAGGGGTACATCACTCCCAGCCCACCCACAAAGTTCCCAGGGATGGTGCTGGCACAGTGGGTTGGAGATGCCCTTTCCCCAGTAATAACTGGAGGGCTGGGGGAGAACTGCCCCACGGCCTCTCAAACTGCCCCATGGCAGGGAAGGGGCTCTGGGAAGACTCCCAGAGAGACTGGGGCTGAGGGCCAGCACCCCCCGGCCACAGGGTCGCCCCTCTGGCCACCACCCCACGTGCCCAAATACTGGGGCTGCCCCTGGTGTGTGTGGGTGTCTCCACCCAGGGTGGGGGATATTATTTTTTTTTTCTTGTAAATTTTATCTTTTTATTAAACCATTGATAAGTTACAAAGGAGGAAAAAATATAGACTTATATATACAGCATTTCCAAGCCAGCAGGGACCGGCTCTTGGAGGGGGTTGCTGGGAGGCGATTGCCCCAGCGTGGCCCGGGGAGGGCCCCCCACCAGAGCCAGGGGAAGGGGGACCCCCAGAGAGGCCAGGCAGCTCCTCATCCAGTGGGACCCGGCTTTTGGGTGCCAGCCGGAGAGTGAGCAGGAGTGGGATGGCAGGGTGGACAGGGTGAGGGGCAGGAGGTGGAGGTCCCACCCCTGCACAGGGCACTGGGAGAAGGGACCCCGGGCTGGCAGGGACAGCCCCCCCACCCAATACCAGGGCACATGGTCCCTGTGCAGGAAAATCAGGGAGGGGGGCACAGCGCTGCCAGACGGGCAGCAGGCAGTGGAGCAGCCCTTTCCTCCAGCAGGTATCGCCGCCGGGAAAACCCTTCCCCTCCCTGGGATGGGGGGCAAGGGGGTCCACCCCAGGCATGGGATGCCTGGCAGGGGCTGAGGGACAGGGTGGGTGGCGGGAAGGTGTCCTTGGCACCGGGTGGCACCCCAGACACCCTCGCCCAGCCGCCAGCGGGGCTCAGTAGGGTGAGAACTTCTGCCGGTCAGCTTTCTTGGTGCCGTTGGCCGCCGAGATCTTGGTCGTGTAGGTGGCGGTGCCGCCGTTGGGACCCGCCACAGAGGACGGGGACAGGGCCAGGAAGGACACCGGCTTCAGACCGATGAAGTTGGAGAGGGAGATGGTGTAGGGGGTGCCCAGCAGGGCTGGGGGGGCCGGGGCGACGGCGGGCAGCGCCGCACCAGAGCCCGGGGTGAGGGGCTGGGAGAAGCCTACGCCGAGGTCCATGGAGCCAGGGCCCGGCGGCGCCTGGGAGGTAGATTTGGCCGTCTCTAAGCTGGGGAAGTGAGCGAGAAGGATGGGGTGGTGAGTGAGGACCACAGTGACAGAGTGGGTCCCCCGCCCCAACCTGACCATCTTAGGGTTCAGAGACCATGCACCCCATTCCTTCTGGTACAGGTCTCCACGGCACATCCTGGGCATCCTGCTGGGGAGGGCTAAAAAGCTGGGGCTCAAACCCAGTGGGGTCTTGGGTCCTGCACCCACCATCTCAGGATGTCAAAGCACCACTCAGCTCATAATTCCTGAGGATGCTGGGGTGGGGGTGTCCCCCAAAAGCTGCTTTGGGGTGCTGGGGAGGTGCCCACCCCTCGCTAGCAGCTGGCATGTGTCCCCGCCAGGCTGGCACCTACCAGGCTGTGATGAGGTACTGAGCCAGGGTGATGCTGACAGGGGACCCTGTGATGGTAACGTGCCGCTCGCTAGAGCCCTCAGTCTGGTTCCCGATCTTGATGTGGGCACCCGACATCTGCCGGATCTCGCTGATCTTGCTGCCGTGCCGACCGATGATGCAGCCGATGAGCTGGAGGGGCAGGGACCAGGGTGAGCTGGGAGCAGCTGGAGGAGCCACACGGAGCAGGAAGATCCCAGGGGCTCACCCAGCCACCCTTTATGCCTGGGAGGATTGGGGAAACTGAGGCATGCACCAGGAGGGCAGGGCGCTGCTTTCCTTGGGCAGACCCTGCATTTTGGTTTCACTCAAGCCCCCCCTGGCTGGTATCACTGGACTGCCACATCCCAAGGCTCTTCCTCGGTGTTGGCCAAGCCCTTTCCCCCTCCTGTGCCTCAGTTTCCCTTTTTCTTCCAGATGCTTTTGCCCCAGCAGCCCTTCCTGCTCCTGAGCTCTGGTGGCCGAGGCAGAGCCTCCCCTGTGTGGGGTGGTGGATGCTGGCCCCTGCAAAGTGGCTGTGGGGTGGGACATGTGGGTGGGGGCAAGCTGTGGTCTCCCTCGCCATCCCTGGGACCCACAACGTACGTCATTGGGCACCAGGAACTCCTGGGAGCTGCTCTGGGAACTGGTGTCCAGGCCTGGAGGGAGAGACAGAGATGTTAGCAGTGGGGAGGTGGGTCTCCAGCAGCTCCATGCCCCCACCCCAGCCCTGTGCTGGGGCAGTCAGTGGCCCTGGGGACAAATCTGAAGGATCCCCGGGGAGAGGCAGGGAGGATCGAGCATAGGCACCAGTGGCAATTTGGTGCTGGTGCTTCCCCACTGCAGGGTTGGGGGGCTCTGGTGGGTGCAGGGACCCCAGGAAATCAAGGACAGGGTCGTTCAGGGAAGCAGGTAGCCATGCTAGGGTGGCTGGGACCGGAGAGGGTGCAGGGGATGGAGACCTCCTCATTGGGTCCAGGTGGCTGGGTGGGTCAGGAGGGGCACGCCACACCCCCAGCCCTGGGGGGGGGCACAGGAGATGCTCACCTGGCACCATGGAGGGCGCGTGGCCCAGGGAGGCGAAGGGGACCGTGTGCCCTGACAGCTGCTGCAGTTTCGTCACCTGCCCAGGCAGAGAGAAGAGGAGGAAGAAGGCATTAGGGGTGACAGCAGAGGGTCCCCTGTCCCCTCCTGGAGCCGGACACTGGCACCCAGTGCCTCCCAGGACAGGCATCCCCAGCAGCGCCCATCCCAGTGGGCACAGACCCAGTGCCCACAGGAGCCGGGGTGGGCTGCCAAGGGACAGACTCACCTCCGCGGGAGAGACCCCACTGTACTGGCCCTGCATGGAGAAGCCCTGAGGGGGGAAGGAAGGGGCATCAGTGGAGGGCTAGGTGGGGACCCCTGCCTCAGGCCACCGCGCTGGCGCAGGGAGGCCACCCTGAGCCCACCAGAGTCACCCCTCACCAGCAGAGGTTGGGACACCCGGCCACCCCATGCCCCCGAGGGGGCTGCGGCCCCTTACCTGGTTGGCAGAGAGCAGGATGGTGCCCAGGGAGAGGCCAGGGTGGTAGGGGATGGTGGCCCCCTTCGGAGGCGACTGGAGAGGGAGGGAAGTAGGTGGAGGGGATGAGAGATGAGGTTGAATGCCCCCGCAGCCCCCTGGACCCCCTCTGTCCCCCATGCCCCCAGCAAGCTGGGCATGGCCCCCAGCACCACTGAGACAGGGTGCTCTTATGGGCTTCAGCATGAGGGGACGGACCCCAGTGCCCAGATCCAGGTGGGTACAGGGAGCCCTAAGGAGGGGGGGGCAGGCAGCGCGTGCCTCCCCAGGCTGGGTGCGGGGCTCGGCAGGTACCTCCAGGATGACAGCGCAGATCTGCCTCACGCACTGGATGATGGTGTCCGGCACCCCCGAGACAGTGACGGCTCGTTCGGTGGAGTTGGGCAGCAGGTCACCGGCCACCTGCACCTGCGCCCCCGTGCTCTGGGGGTGGCAAAGGGAGATGCTGGGGTCCCTCAGCCACTCCCCCGTGGGGTCTCAGCACCTCACACCTCGCCTGTCCCCTCCTGAGCCCCCAGGGACCTTTGCAAGACCCGCGAGTTGATGCGCTGCTCCTGCATCACTTCCCACAGCCCCTGCGGGATCGTGGCAGCCCCAGTGTCGAAGGCTCTGTACCCTCCAGGGGAAAAGGGGAGCCCGCACCCAGGGGACCCTCAGCCTCACCTCCCGGATCTCCCGGATCTTAGCTCCCGCCTTGCCGATGAGTGAGCCGCACTGGCTGGCCGGGATGACGAGGCGCAGCGTCACCGGTGCTCTGCCTACTGCTGCCCCATCGCTCCCCGCTCCCAGGTCCTGCGAGGGAGGGGGGACGCAGCGTTGGACCCCCAGAAGTCCACAGGCATAGGGGTACCTGGCAGGACTGGGGGGGGGGCTGCCTACCTCCTCCAACTTGAAGGCGATCATGGAGACGGCACGGAAGACGGCGTCCGTGGAGCCGGTGATGGTGGTGATGCGCTCGGGGCAGGACCCCTCTGAGATGGTGATGCGTGCGCTGCTCTGGGGACGGTGTCACACCCCATCAGGGACATCGAAGGCCCTGAGCTCGATGTCCCCCCCCCCAGGGAAGGGCTCACTGGGGGTGGCCTCGATGCCTGCAGACCTGGGCTTTCCCCCTCCCACCTGCCCCAGGCAGCCTTCCCCGGGGTGCAGCCGTGTCTCCCCTGGGTCCACCTGGGAATGGGGGTGGCCAGGGCTCCGCACGTGGGAGTCACCAGGCGCAGGCAGGACAGGCGGCAGGACCCCACAGCCCCCCCGCTCTTGTATCTTACCTGCTCTCGTATCCTCTTAACCGTCTCTCCTTTCTGCAGGGAGAGGAACAGGGCGGGTGGTCAGGTCCAGGGGAGCCCGGGGCTGGTGGTGCCCCAGACCCCAAATCTTACCTTGCCGATGATGCTGCCGATCTCCTGCAAAGGCAGAGATGAGGGTGTCCCTGTCAGCAGGCAGCTCCCTGCCCGCCACATCAGCTCCCTGCCTGCCTCCTCTGCCCACAGCCTGGCCAACAGGCAACAGGCAGGCCCTGCCCTGTGGCCACTGGGACACTGGGTGGCTTGCTGGTGACACTGGGGCATGGGAACGGGCCTCACCCTGGCTTAGGATGGGGAAAGAAATCTTTCTGGGAATGCTGTTCCCGGGGGGGATTGGGATTGCGGAGGAAAAACAGGGAGTGGCAAGGAGCTGGTGCTCCAGCATGGCCCCCGGCTCCAGGCATTGCTGA